ATCCAACTTTCAAATTTGCAGCTGATTGAAAACGCTCGAATCTCGACCTCCAGTGTCTCCATTCTCTGGGTTGCGTAACATCAAACGCTTGCGGAGGCTCTAGCCGAAAGGCCATCACTGTTGTTTAGAGACAAATACTCCTAGTATCGTTGTAAATCCAATTTACAAACACATCTAGACACCATGTCAACTTTACATAACAATATTTGAGTTCTAAACTAATTATTTATTCATGACGTAATCCAATGTATGAATTACACTGTACGAAATGATTACACAGTACATCAACTTATTCCCGGGAACACTCTCACCTGTATGGAGCATTTACATATATATCAATAATATGACAATAGGAGTCGATACATTTTATAAGCACAACATTTGAATACACACTCAGTGGAGTCAGTTACTTGAATAAAACCTAGACATTGCAAATCTATATAGTAATGTATTAGTATAGTATATGATTTATCAATTGTGCAAAAGACCCCATGCAGAACAGTCCTAGTGATAAAGACAATCTTCCCATTACAAACCAAAGGCTTTACCAAAATGCTCAAAAAATCACTATTGATTTTTTCTATCATTGCAGACATTTATGGTTAGTTTATTGACTAAATTTCACAAACAGGCACAATTCTAAAAAATCTTACTTGGATATACAAATTAAGGTGCTATGGAAGTTAACAGGAAATGACAAAACAAAAAATGTCAAAACCATGCTGGATTTTGAAAATTTTTTGAATCAAGATAACAGAGTTCTGTTTGGACCTCCAGTCAGTTTAACTAGTTCATCATATTTACACGACAGGGAACACAAGGAAAATGGTCAGAATGACCATAAACATGATGAAATAACCTTTTCAGTCCTCTGAAAATGTGACTGAAAATAGCTAAGAGTAGGTGCTCAGGAAAGGTCACTGAAGAGAATCTTTTGACTTTTTCAGAAAATATGCCCAATGATACAATTTTGAAAAAATTCATATCATTCTCAGAAAAAGAAAAATGGAAAAAAACTGAATTCAAAATCGATCTATTTTCCTTTTAACTACAGCAATTATTGTTTCAGACAATTTTTTAAAATTTCAAAGATTGTATCATTTAGAGCAATATATTAGACACATTTTCTGAAAAAATCAAGAGATTTTGTTCATTGACCTTTCCTGAGCCCTACTTTTAGCTATTTTTCAGTCACATTTTCAGAGGGCTGAAAAGGTTATTTCATCATGTTTATGGTCATTCTGACCATTTATCTTGTGTTCCCAGTCGTGTAAATATGTTGAACTAGTTAAACTGATGGGAGGTCCAAACAGAACTCTGTTATCTTGGTTCAAAAAAATTTCAGAATCCAGCATGGTTTTGACATTTTTGTTTTGTCATTTCTGTTAACTTACATAGCACCTTAAATTACAAATTAAAATGTGTTGCATGAAACACATTGATGAATTTGTTCATACAAACTGGAGAAAGTATATAATCTGGGTTCTCCACTTTCAATGAACACATTTTTGTACTTTCTCCTGCATGTCTGAACAAATATTTTGTGTCCATTCTCCAACATGCATAAGCAAATGATTTGTACTTTCTCCATTGTGCATGAACCAAAACGTTGTTCATTTTCTTCCGTGATTTCAATATTTTGTTAATTAATCAATGTGTCAGAACGAATAAAATGTACCTAAACCAGTGAGCATGAACGAATTTAATGTTCTACAATATCTATAATGTGTATGAAGTGACATTACGCTCTTTCTCCAGTATGGACATGTATATGAACCAACACGCCTGTGTATATACTTTCTCCAGTATGTATGAACAAATATCATGTACTCCATTGTTTATGAACACACATTTTGTATGAACAAATACTATGTACTTTCTCCAGTGTGTATGAACGTACAGAGTATTGGTTAAATAACTAAAGTGAAAGTACATAATATTTGCTCATACATACTGGAGAAAGTACATGATATTTTTCAATACAGGACAGTTAAAATTTATTGTTTCATATATACACTGGAAAAATATAAATAGTAGTCCATACACAGAAAGTAAATAAAACAATAAAATATTGGTTTAGGCACATGGGAAATTAACCTAGTTTCGATTCATACATACTGGAGAAAGTATACACAGAGGAGTGTGACTCAAAAAATTTGACTCAAAAACAGTTAAAAGTTGGACTTTTAGAAAGGTTACCAGACAGAATCTATTGCATTTTTGAGAAAGTGTGCCAAATATATTATTTGAAATTATAGAAGCTTTTGAAAATTTGAATTCATTCCTAAAAATATAAAAAATGAGAAAACTGCTTTAGAAAGCAATCCATTCTCTTTTTATGATCACAATTTTTGTTTCAGACAACTTTTCAAAATTTCAAATTAAAGCTCCTATGACATTATGATTTAGAGTAATATATTGGGCACATTTTCTGAGAAGTCTTTCACATGATGTTTAGGGTCATTCATTCATACAAACTAGAGAGAGTATGAGAATATTGATTAATCCAATCTGAGTAATATGATAGATAGTCGGTTCTTCAAAAAGAGAGGTTTAGTTAGATTTTGAATATCAAATAGATTTGGATCAAGTGTTATAAAGAATCTGATCTTCTTAACTTACTTAACTTCGAGCACGCAGATAAATATTCAATGGATTTGCATAAAATGCAGAGTTCCTGTGACAATGGCATTTATTTTTAATAATCAAGAAAGTACTTTGCACCCTCCCGCCAAGTTAGGAAGAAGCCAGAGCTTTCATTCTGGTACACATCGCATCTAGAAACATGTCTGTGTCTATCATGTAAGAAGAGAGAGTCAAGGTATTCCATGATGGAGCATTTTGGAAACCCTTCTTAGAAATTGCAATGCTGAAAATGGGCTATTGGTATACACTGTGTACAAGTAATGCAGATTGCTCCGATTTTCACTACGGCGCCATGCCGATTGAGTATTTTGTTCAAAATTAAATACAATATTGAACAAACGGAGCAAATGTGACCCAGGCATCAGTGTAGTATGAATTTATTTTGTTAGGATGCCAGTCAGAGCTCTTGGTGCAAGTACTAAGTTTGCAAACATGCATGTCAACCATGGCCAATTAGAAAAGTGCACCCCTTCTATATGATAATATAAACCCTTCCTACACCTTGGTTTAGCTTTGGATCACTATGCTATCACTATGTGGCAGAAATGCATTCTGATTGGATATAAATGATCACATGACTTAGTTCACCAAGGTATCAGGAGATGGCATGCCAAAATGTAAAATCTCTGATAACTGATTTAGTAATAATGGTTCTAATGTTCATACTTGTTGTTATCAACATTTTAGACATATGTATTACTATCATGATTTTATGACATTTTACAATATGTATATAACAGGCCCGTAGCTAGGAGGGGTGGGTTTGATGGGTTCGAGCGAACCCCTCCCTGGCCCAAAAATCTTTCAAAATCATACAGTTTTTCACCATTAACTCTTTAGTGATTTTGGTCATTTTTGGACCAAAATTGTCACAAGTGAACCCCCCCTGGAATTTTTCAAAAAGTGAACCCCGATTGGCAAATCCTGGCTAAGGGCCTGTATAATATTTATATGAATTAATTTTACAAACAAAAGTCATATCCTTAAAAGATATACTGTCATATTATTTTTTCAGGAATACTGCTCCTACATCCTGTGGTAAACTTATGAACTCCACCTATGTTTTACCCAAGTAAGTTCGTGAAAGGTGTTCAGATTTTAAGGTGTTCATCTTAGAGATTTAATATGTATAGATGCATATTCTAGACAGTTCAATGTTTTTGAGTATTCATTTTAGAGAGTTGAATTAAACATGGGCCCAATGCGAGCACACGACACATAGATATGAAAAGCTCAAAGAAATGATTCCACAATTTTCATCATTTGTGGTTCAGTTGTTATGGTTAAGGATTTAAGCCTTGGAATCAGTGCATTGTGTGCTGAACAATTGTGTGCTTGCATTGTGTGCTGAACCATTGTGTGCTTGCACTGTGTGCTGAACCATTGTGTGCTGAACCATTGTGAGCTGAACCATTGTGAGCTGAACCATTGTGAGCTGAACCATTGTGTGCTGAACCATTGTGTGCTTGCACTGTGTGCTGAACCATTGTGTGCTTGCATTGTGTGCTGAACCATTGTGTGCTTGCACTGTGTGCTGAACCATTGTGTGCTTGCATTGTGTGCTGAACCATTGTGTGCTTGCACTGTGTGCTGAACCATTGTGTGTTTACATTGTGTGCTGAACCATTGTGTGCTTGCATTGTGTGCTGAACCATTGTGTGCTTGCACTTTGTGCTGAACCATTGTGTGCTTGCATTGTGTGCTGAACCATTGTGTGCTTGTATTGGGCCTGAAGGGTTACATTATATCAATATATTGTCAATGGTAGATAGTTCTAAATTGTTCTTATTGATAAAAACTGTTGGTAGACAATAATATAGAACTTTATTAAGTATTGTGTACTTATCAAATGATATGATTTATTAGTTAATGTTTTGTTTATCAGCATTTTATACTCATAAGTATCAGTATCTGACAATTTAAATTAGTTTATATTGATGATAAGGAAATAATGTTTTGTGGGACAGTAAACATTGAAAATTCTACCCAGTCTTTGGCATTAAGTTTATGAATCATTCTCCGACCGCAGTACTCCAAGATCTGGTATCTTCTTTCTCCTTTATTCCTGCAGTAGGAATGAGGTCTGTAGCACTGCATTTTGAGGATGATACTGCATGTACAGGGTAACCCAAACAAATCTTAATTATAATGGATATGAACAACCCTAGAGAGTTGAAACAAGAGATTAGAAGTGAAATGAGAGCCATTTCACAAGAAATCTGTGAGTGTGTAGTCAGAAAACTTAACCTGATACTTTAAAGTTTGCCTCAAAAGACAAGACCGGCATGTTGAGCATGTTTTGTAAAATGGCCATAAGATCATGAATATTTCGAAAAGACCAACGAAACTTGGCTGAATGAAAGAACATTGAACAAGGTTTACAGTAATTGTGTAAAATGACTTAAGATTTGTTTGGGTTACCTTTTTGGGCTCACCCTGTATAATTTGGTTATTGTAACCAACATAATTAGTGATTTATTGGTTGTAAAAGAGTGTAGCAGGCATCATTATATTTGCCCCCATATTGAGCCCCACTTGTTAAAGCAAGTGGTGTGACTCCATCTTTATCAAATACAAAATGTGGACGTTCACGACGTGTGAACTCGAATTCAGTACCATCCGTAAACTGGACCTTATTTCCAAATGCCCTACCACCATATTGCCAGTTTATACCATCAGGGCTATAGGCATGGCCTCCACAATTTTCTTGTATGTCATTTGGGTACATATTGTGAAATATAGCATGGAAATTTCCCCTCTTGTCTATGTACATAAATGGATCCTCAGTCCCTGCAGCTGGGAGGAGTGGCCAGAGCTCATCAGGATTTTGCTTATAGGTGCTTGGATCCAGGTAGCTCTCTGCCCGCACAAGGTGAATCCTAGATCCACTGGTCCCCCATTTTCCTACCCTGTTAAACCCAATCAGGGTACCATTTTTGAGGATTACCATCGCAAAGTTGTTATCACCAGGGGCTGTTGGAAAGACCACAACAGGCTCAGACCAAGGTCCTTTAGGGCGTGCAGCCATGCTCATATATGTCGTGAAAGTAACCAATCCTGGTTTACAACTTGGTGGGGTTGATCCATCTGAACAGTTACACAGTGTATCATTGTTCTTATGCTCCATAGCCGACCAGTACATGATTGCCTCTCCTCTGGGCCCATTGATGACATCTGGTTCATGCGCAAATGGTGGTTGCTGCTCTTGGATACGCTTATACTTCCCCAGTGGTGTTTCAGACACTGCGTGTACAATACGACTGTTCACTGTCCAAGAATTTATACCACAATGTCTAGTCATTTCCGCAGGGAACATGTGATATGTACCATCAACGGGATCACGTATTACAGGGCCACCCCAGCTGGATGTTGGCACACCATCATCCATTTGTTTATACCCAGTGTTCTTATCTGCTTTTAGTAGATTTAACTCATCACAGTTATGTAACATCCATGCTTGGTCACACTTACACATCCCATCTAGGCATTCACCATTTAGACTACAGTCCAAGTTGCTTCTACAGGGCCATAGGATTCTTCCGGAGTTGATGCCCATTTCCTTCATTGGTGACCACAGGAGTTCTTCTATTCTTCCAAAGCACTGTCCTTCGTATCCTACAATATATTTAAGTAATTGATCAACTCATAACCTCTGATCATCCCAGGGGCAAATTTATGATAATTGATATTTTCAAATATAGTCAAATTCTGTTATTTTACCAAAGCCTGTGCCATGTGTGTTAATATTAACAACATTTATTGTGTGGTATTTTAATGTTAACACAACTGGTTATCAGTATAGTTATCAAAAGAATACAGTCAAAAACCAAACCTGTAAACTTTGAAGAGTGGTGAGTGTATGACCAACATCTTTCAACCTGCTTGATACATTCTTTTTCACATTCTTCTGTTGTGTTAAACGTCCCTAGGTAGTGCACTGAGCCTTTTGATGTCTTTGGATCAATTCTACCATATACATTGTTTGCATTTGGTACTCTAAGCACCTTGACTGGTGAATCATGAGCAAATGTATTGAATGATGTAATGCAATACAGGAATATGCAAAGAATCTTTTTCATGTTGTGCATATTCCTTGAATACCTGCATGAGAATCTACCTTTTTAATTTCTATAGTATTACACATATGATCATGTGTCTGTTTATCAATGTTATGAAGTACATTCATGTGATGTATTTGTGATTTTTAAGTGTACGATAACCTGTATGTTTAAATGAGTATACAAAAGATGCTCTAGTTTATCTTGTATTTATTAAACAAAGGCTATACTTAAATAACTACCATGCTTTTAAAGGTTTATCTTTTCAAAAGGTTTGCTTAGAAATGCTGGTAGGGTATATTCTTGAAAAGTTGAGGGCTAATTATCTATCAGATAGTATTTGACATGTATTATCATTATAATAGACTAGATACAGTGGAAATAATCTTCATTTACTTCATTAAATATTCAAGATTTAGTCAAAGTGATATATTTTAAGTCTACATGTACATGTAAAATTACCTTTAGAAATGTGGTTTAAAAATTACTGATGAACTCATAATGCATTAAATTCAAATGCTACTCTTCACCATTCTGCTGTTGTACTTCTACATTTAATATAGTATATTGCAATCTGAACTTTTCCAGATAACACTATTAAATGTTCTTCACATACTGAACATGAACTCAAAATGTTATTGATTTTGCAACAGATGCTTCTAATACTTATATGTATTTCATACCTACTGAGGTTCTAGGTACATAACGAACGGGAATATGTAGTGTATCTAGGGAGCTGTCACCAAGGGTCGGGACTGGGATGGATACACCCTGCGGTCCCTCGGGAGATACCCATATTTCCCTTAGGATAAACCCTGTATCCAAAACCTCTCAGTACATAAGCTTTATGTATATATAATATATATATAATATATACTAATATTAATATGTATATACAAATGTAAAATAATTTAGAAATCAAACAGGTACATTTTTCAATGCACATAATTGATTTCCAATTTCACAAATGTTTACAATTAATTATACTGTCATGTACATGTGAAGTGTAAATTAGCTAAAAGGTTTTAGCAATAAAACCAGATCCCTTTGAAAAGATAACGTGTAATTACTGCTTTAACCATACTGTCGAGTATTGTCATTATGTACATATTAATTTTACTTGAGTCAATTCTATATGTGAGTCTTATCAATGTTTGATTTGCTTATACAAAATATGCTGTAATTAGTAAAATGCATTTTTTTAATCATGTAATTTATTTCAGGCACCACTGTACTTAATATCTGTAGATGTTGTATTGATTGTGTTCTGTTTCTTTGTTTATGAATTCTAACTCAAATCTTGATATACCTTTTCTTCTTTACCCTATTTTCAAACATAATGTCTATTGCCGTACTGTTAGATCTGATATAAGAGTCAAATATGACAATGTTGTTTTTGTAACTATAGGGATATTGTGGACCCTACGTTCAAGCACAATGTCTATGGTCGTACTGCTGGATCTGATATCAGAGTCAAATATGACTATGTTGTTTTTATATATATAGGAATATTGTGGACCCTACCTTCAAGCGCAATGTCTATGGTCGTACTGCTGGATCTGATATGAGAGTCAAATATGACTATGTTGTTTTTGTAACTATAGGGATATTGTGGACCCTACGTTCAAGCACAATGTCTATGGTCGTACTGCTGGATCTGATATCAGAGTCAAATATGACTATGTTGTTTTTATATATATAGGAATATTGTGGACCCTACCTTCAAGCGCAATGTCTATGGTACTGCTGGTCGTACTGCTGGATTGCCTATATTTACTGTTATTGAAAATTGTATATTGGATGTACGTTTGGCCCTAAAAGGGCATCAGTACTAATAAAATCCTATTATTACTATGGTGGTACTGCTGGATCTGATATGAGAGTCAAATATGACTATGTTGTTTTTGTAACTACTTAGGTCAGTCAAAAAGTTCTGTTTATTTATCTCTAACTTTGTCATTTTGAGGAATTGTTTCTTGATATTTGGTACTTATACAGAACATACATTTGTGCTAATATTGACTAAATATTGTATCTCAACTATCATTGGTTACTGAATAATAGTTGCTATGGTAACAGAAGGGCGATGTACTCGGTTCAAACCAATTTTATTGATTTTCATACACTGTTATATTACATGAAATATACTTTAAACTGTCTTAATATTTAAAAACTCCTTTCTAACTAAGTCCCCGATGTCATATCTAAGTTTAATTTAGTTATTTAGCCTTCAAAACAGTCGCCCCCTGCAGCAATGACCTTTCGGTGCCTTTCTACCCAGTCTCTGAAGACACCTTTGAAACCGCTAGCCGACAATTCATTTAAACGTCTGCGCACTGCTGCCTGCAGAGCCCCCATCGGAATCAAATCGGAATCGAAGACCCCTCTTTATATTGCTGAGGAGGTAAAAGTCACACGAGATGTGTCTGGGGAGTATATTGCTTGTGGAATCCTGCTCCATTGGAGATCTTCTGAGGCAGTCTTTATGGCAACATTACTTGTATGGGGACGAGCATTGTCCATATTCATCAAAAAACTGCCTCGAGACATCAATTCTTTCTTGCTTCTGTTCTTGAGTGAGGAATCTTTGAACCCATTTTGAGGCTAAGTAACACTTTTTCAATACTTTAGTGATGATTGTATGACAAGAGCCATGAGAAATATTCAGAATGGAACTAATTTCATCCAGTGAAATGTGCCTATCTTGCTCAATCAACTCTTGTATTTTCTCAGCATTGTCCTCATTCACATAACTCTTGGGCCGGCCAGTTCGTTCTGAATCAGAGAGTTTATCCCTTTTTCCAGACAAGAAGTCATTGTACCATCTACGGACAGTATTATATCTTGGGGCATCCTGTCCAAAAGCGCCTTTAACAAGTGAATATGTCTCTTGTAGTGTTTTCCTGTTTTCTACCATACACTGTATCAAGTTTCTTTGCGTCCACTTTAACAACTTGCTAGGAGAATCAACATTTGACATGATTTTTTCTCAAAATCCCGTTTTCACTTTTTCATCCTGAAAATCATCTATGTCAGCTGAAAATTGTCACAATTGAATATTTCCTTGACTGTGATGTCTTCAAGACAATAGAATTGGCATCAAACCCTGTCAATTTGCACAATTTGATATTTTAACATGAAAAAGCGTCCAATGAATTGATGCCAAATGAAATTAATGTGACATTAAAAATATGACGTTTTTTAGCTGAACCGTGTACCAAACAATTCTGTTACCATAGCAACCATAATTCAATAACCAATCATAGTTGAGATACAATATTTGGCCAATAGTTGCACAAATATATGTTCTATAGATGTACCAAATATCAAGAAGTATATCCTCAAAATGACAAAGTAAGAGATAAATAAACAGAACTTTTTGACTGACCCAAGTATATGGATATTGTGGACCCTACCTTCAAGCACAATGTCTATGGTCGTACTGCTGGATCTGATATCAGAGTCAAATATGACTATGTTGTTTTTATATATATAGGAATATTGTGGACCCTACGTTCAAGCACAATGTCTATGGTCGTACTGCTGGATCTGATATTACAGTCAAATATGACAATGTTGTTTTTGTAACTATAGGGATATTGTGGACCCTACGTTCAAGCACAATGTCTATGGTTGTACTGCTGGATCTGATATCAGAGTCAAATATGACTATGTTGTTTTTATATATATAGGAATATTGTGGACCCTACGTTCAAGCACAATGTCTATGGTCGTACTGCTGGATCTGATATTACAGTCAAATATGACAATGTTGTTTTTGTAACTATAGGGATATTGTGGACCCTACATTCAAGCACAATGTCTATGGTTGTACTGCTTGGTCTGATGTAAGAGTCAAATATGACTATGTTGTTTTTATAACTATAGGGATATTGTGGACCCTACATTCAAGCACAATGTCTATGGCCGTACTGCTGGATCTGATATGAGAGTCAAATATGACTATGTTGTTTTTATAACTATTGGGATATTGTGGACCCTACATCCAAACATAATGTCTATTGCCGTACTGCTGGGTCTGATGTAAGAGTCAAATATGACTATGTTGTTTTTGTAACTATAGGGATATTGTGGACCCTACGTTCAAGCACAATGTATATGGTCGTACTGCTGGATCTGATATCAGAGTCAAATATGACTATGTTGTTTTTATATATATAGGAATATTGTGGACCCTACCTTCAAGCGCAATGTCTATGGTCGTACTGCTGGATCTGATATAAGAGTCAAATATGACTATGTTGGTTTTATATCTATAAGGATTTTGTTGACCCTACATTCAAGCACAATGTCTATGGCCGTACTGCTGGATCTGATATAAGAGTCAAATATGACTATGTTGTTTTTATAACTATAGGGATATTGTGGACCCTACGTTCAAGCACAATGTATATGGTCGTACTGCTGGATCTGATATAAGAGTCAAATATGACTATGTTGGTTTTATATCTATAAGGATTTTGTGGACCCTACATTCAAGCACAATGTCTATGGCCGTACTGCTGGATCTGATATAAGAGTCAAATATGACTATGTTGTTTTTATAACTATAGGGATATTGTGGACCCTACGTTCAAGCACAATGTATATGGTCGTACTGCTGGATCTGATATAAGAGTCAAATATGACAATGTTGTTTTTGTAACTATAGGGATATTGTGGACCCTACATTCAAGCACAATGTCTATGGCCGTACTGCTGGATCTGATATAAGAGTCAAATATGACTATGATGCATGGGGTTGCCCATCGCCAGCGTTCCACTCAGACTTCTTCATGCCTATTTTAGAAATGTAAGTATTTGTTAAGATTACTCTATAGATTTTGATTGATTCATAACATATAATTTGAAATATATCTCAGGTCCTACATGAGAGACAAAAAAATAGTTCTCGAAAGTTAATCCTGGTAATCTGTTTACATGTCTATCTTGAAAATGTAAGTTTTTATGTCACCACCACAAGCGGTGAAATATTGTTATAGTCTCCATTTTTTGTGAATGGTGTCCAGCATCTGTAACAAATGGAAAGTGGTGACATTTTGCATTGTAATGGCTTGTTTGTAGATGGTGTTCGGCATCCGGTGGCTGGC